GATTATGAGTCTCCTGGTCACCTGCAACCTGAGCCACCCCAGGGAGCGTGAGCGTCAACGCCGCCTGCTCCTCCTGCCGAGGGCGAGTCCCCAAGTGGAGGGACGAGGCTGTGTGGAGGGTGAGCTGCGGAGACAAGGGCCGCCTGTCAGCTGTAGCGCCGTGAGGCAGGTGAACCTGAGGTGTGCATGTGCGTGTGTGCATGCCCACATGCCTGTTTGTGCATGTCTGCACATGTGTGTGTACGCATGAGTGTGCGTGTGTAGCTGACATGTGCAACTGGAATGGAAGCGGGGGGATGTTCTGCCAAGTTCCAGAAGGAGCTGAGGGGTCTCCACACCCATGGGGAGTTCCTTTACCAAGGGCGGTACTGTGGCCGTCAGGTCACGTCCACCCTGCCTGGCTCACTCACCAGGCGCTTATCGTGGGCCCACCCCCACGGCCTCAGTACGTGTCGTTGTCCCTACGTGGTGCGCCAATCCCACCTGGAGGACACAGGAAGCTGCGCCTCCCTAAATGGCCCAGCACGTCACCGCTGGCTCCGAGCCGTCACATGGCTGTGGCTCTGGCGCCAGCGTCTGGTCCTGGTCCCTTACCGTGAATCTCAACTTACGTTCCTGGGCCCTTCTGACCACAGGCGCTCCCACCACTCTGTGTGTGTTTGCAAAATGCTGCATGTCCATAAACATTCTGTCATTTAATGTCCCTTGGGGAGGTGACCGTCCAAGAAGGCAGAGCGTGGAGAAGCCAGGTGCACTGCCCAAGGCCAGGCCTGTAGCAGCGGCAGAGCAGAACCTGACCCTTGGTCTTCCAAAGTCTGGGCTCCTCAGGCAATGCACCCCAAAGTTACTGCCTGCTCCATGTTCTTCTCCCCTAGAATATCCAACCCAAGTCAATGGTACTGAAATTCTAATAGCTCCAGTCGGAAGCCTGCAGTCGTTCTAAGGCACTTCTCACTGCCTCCCGCACCCCCCATTCCAAATGGTCACTTGGGCCTTCTTCAGATTTTCTTAAGTCACCATCCCCTCTGAGCTGACACCCCTCTGAGGAAAAGGAACCACCCAACATAAAGAAATGAAGGGTGGCAGTGCCGTGGCTCCCCAGGGACTGCAGCTGACAGCCCACTGGGCACAGCCCTCCAGACACACGTGGGGGCTCAAGAGTTACCAGGTGTCTGAGGAGGAAAATCCAAAATGGAAGCCAACATGCACACAGAGAAAGAAACCCGGAAGAACAGTCTACAAAGGAGGAAGAGAAAATAAAATAAAACGCCACTGGGACAATTAATTTCCTTGTTGTAAGAGAAAATGTTGCAATCACAAAACAAAGAAGACTGCTATAAGAAAGAAACCTTCTGAGTTCTCAGGATTTAAAAACAGTGAAATTAAATAACTACTAGAAAGGATGGAAGATAAAATTGAGAAAATTTCCCAGAAAATAAAGCAAAAGGACACAAAGATGTTGGGAGTGTCTAACCTTAGACAAGTGACAGAGAGCAGAAACAATGAAAGGAAGACGATGACATAGAAACCATCCCAGGAGATCTCCGTCTGCAAGATGAGAATTAGCTCTGAGTCACCGTACACGGGGCAGACGGGCACACCGGGGATAGGGACATCGTTGTGGCCTGCATGGCTAGGCTGCCCCCCCGCTCCCCAAGTGGGGACCCTCTGGAAGCTCTTGCTGGGGTCGGGGGTGCACCCCAGCAAGAGCTCGGGTGTTGGGCCCCAGCCTGGGGGCCCACTGGCTAAGGCCTGGCCAAGCAGACGTGCACGCCCACCAACTTCCTTCCTCGTCAAAGGCCAGAGGTGCAGGCTCAGTCTGGAGGTTGTTACGTTACTTAAATGAGGAGGCCATTAGACTGTGGTGGCTTTCATGCCTCAGCAGCCTACGGAAGCACACGAATACCTCAGCCTGTAAAGGCCTCAAGGTTCACACACCGAAGCCTAGGGACAGCCAAGCACAAACAGCCAGCTCTGGGCTGCAGCCGTGATGCCCTCCTGCTGGGCTCCCGCCAGGCGAGCGGTGGAGCGCTCCTCACCACTGCCAGTTTGCTGCTGCCCCGTCGCATGGATTTATGCTGCAATAAACTCAAGATTTAATATACCCGGGTTCTCTTTTTGCAAGGTGAAAAGATAGTTAAGTCAGCAAAGGTAAGACATGGAGAGCTGAAGCAAGGGTGGCAAAACGCTGACAATGACTCCAGAACACGGGCGCCGAAGCTTCCATGATGCAGACCGGAGGGAACAGCCTGATGACTGGAGGACACAGGGGCTGACGGATGTGGCTGCAGATCGAGCTGCAGAGAAGAGGCGTGATAAGCACGTGGCTCACAAGGGGGGCGGCTGCCCTCACGTCCGCACTGATCTCTCTGGAGACACAGGTTTGGGGCAAAGCCTCAGCACATATGAGTGGACGTGCCCTCAGGTGGGGCAGCTGGAAGCCGACAGCACACTGTGCGGTGACAGAAGTCAGGTTCGGAGATGACCCGAGGCCATCACGCTGCTGTCTGTCTAGGCCAGTGCAGTTGCCAGAGCACGTGTGGTTTAATGCTGGACGTGAGGGACCAGACTGAAAACCACCGGCTATCCAGCACAGTGGGTGACAAGGACCCACACTCAGGCCCTATCATGAGATTTCAAGTATAGAGAGGACCCTGTAAACATCCAGAGACAAAAAGACAGGTTCAAACAAAAGATCAAGAATCAGAAAAACACCAGGTTCTCACCTGGGACACACTGGAAGCCAGGAGGCAATGGAGCAGTCTACAACATTCTAAAAACTGTTTTCAACCCAGAATTCTATAACCAGGTAAACTTTCAATTAAAAGTTAAGATAGGATAAAGAGATTTTCCGACCTGCAAGGGCTCAAAGGTTTATGCCCTTTTTCTCAGGATAAGAGAGTAAACCAAGAAAGAGGAAGATACGGGATTCAGGAATCCAACATGAGACAGAGGTGTGAAGATTCGGGAGTTGGTGACAAGGGTGCCAGCTGGGCGGAGGCCGAGAGAGCACCACTCAGGGCCTGGCTGGGCGAGTGCGGGGGGTACTGACCAGAAGGTGAAGCCGATGAGATGCCCATCGCATGAACGCACTGAAAGGAGATTTGGAAAACTGGGGGAGAATCTGAAGTTGAATTATGATAAATATACAAAGAAAACTAAACAAACTCACAAGCAAAAAACAAGAGTCAGTAAGTCTAGGAAAAAACAATTGCTGTGGGGACTCCTGATGTCCAGTTCTGCTCGTAAGGAGCTTGGAGTCGCCACTCAGTACTAACAAGGCTGAACAGACGGAAGAATCGACAACTCTTCTTGGCTCCGTAAGAGAAGGGAGCAGGCAGGCAAACCACTGTCCCCAGACAGCGGACACAGACAAGCAGGTACGGGCCCCAGCTTCCCGGAGCATATTCATGAGGGTCTGAACCCTGTGGGAACCCTGAACTGTGGTTGATGCATTGTGGGGGCTCAGTGTGCACAAGTCTAAGGGTTAAAAATCCAGGGGGACCCAGTCACAGGGGTCCCCAGTATTGTGAGATTTACCTCCTGGAGCTTGACCAGGTTCCCTCAGTAAATATCAAGAACGCTCCGCCACTGGCTTCAGCAGGGGAGGGAAAGGGAGAACCCTGTTCTCCCCAACAAGCCTCCCCTCAAGGCAACCATTTACCAGAGCGTCACCTACACTGCCCCAGGGGACCCCTGTCAGCCACCCTGTCCACTTAAGAGGAAGAAAAACCTGGGAAACGCTGTGGAGCCCAGAGTCTGGAGGCGGGGCTCATGCAGACACTGACCCTGCTCACAGGCATGCAGAGGCCCCCTCCCCCATCTGGCTCTCAGGGCAGCGGGAACACTCATGGCAGGGATGTGGCATTATGAGACCAGGAGTTGAAAGCGCTACAATTCGATGCTAAGCGAGTCAGTGGGTAAGTGAGACAGCACGGGCAGATGGGGGTCCAAGCCGAGACAGAGATCCTAAAAAAGAACCAAAAAGAAACGCTACAGACAAAAATGAATGCTATGCAAGTAAAAGTGACAGTAATTATTTGGGTTAGTTGCCAGCATTGCCCTCAGAAACAGTAACAGGATCTAACTATTGGGTTGTCGGAAAAGTCATGACGCATTTTTGCAACGAGAAACAGAAAAAACATGTCATGACTTTTCTGACAACCCAATAGAATAACTATTTGGAAGTACAGGAAATGGGGCAGAAAAGAAAATTCCTTAACTTCCACAGTGAAAGCTTGAAAGGTAATTCCTAAAACAGAAGAAACACAGATGATTAGCAAATAACCATCTAAAATGTTGCAAGTAAGTAGGTGCTTCTAGAAACAGAGGAGGGGATTAATCTGCTGAAAATGGCCTTGGAGAAGGTGAGTGACGTTTACTCTGACAAAAACCACACTTGCAATTCAGGAAGAATCAGCAGGCTGGAAATCAAGCTGAGGAGACAGTGTTGAAACAAAACGACAGAAAATATGCAAGAGGATAAGAAATATATATACACTTGGAACATTCTAGATCTAACAAGGGTTCCATGAGACAGCCTGTAAACCTTCTAAGAAATCACACAAGAAAACCCCCAGATCTTAGGGGGACACAGGACCACACGATGCCAAGCAGAATGGATGGTAAAAGGAAAGTCTCACACAAACACAATTTTTAAAAATTTTCAGAATATGAAGACAATGAACAAAGAAATGTTCAGGGTAAAAAATTCCTACAAGGACTAAAATCCATTAGAAGCAACACACATGTGACATACTGAATGCTAAGCTATTCCGGACAGCCAGCCACAGCCAGAGTCTGAATGGTCACACGCCACTCGTGGGGCGACCAGCGGCGCAAGTGAGCGCCCCAAGAACAGCTCACCTCCCAGGGCGGGCCTCGCTCCTGAGACAGCAAGTTCACGCCACCTCAGCCTCTGAGGACGAAGGTCCCTTTCTGGAATATTCTTCCCTTGTGCCTGAAGGACCACGCAGTGTAATCAGACTGGCCCTTCTCTGTTTCTGTAACAAGGAATTACTCAAAGTTTGGCAAAATTTACCTGTCAAGCCCTCTGCTTAGGGGAAGAGTGGTGAGTCCCTTTCACTGTTTTCTATGGTGAATGGTCGATTCAGATGGTTTATTCCTCACTCCTTTCTTAGGAAACTGTCTTTCACTCATTGCATACTTGTGCTCTGGCTACAAGTTAAGAAATACTGAGGCACAGAAACTATTTATTTCATTTAGTGTTACATCTGGATCGCCACGGTCATTTTCCTATTTCTAATGTTTTATCTTTTTCCCTCTTAATAACACTTAGACTAAAAGCTTTCTGGATCCTTCAAAAAACAACTTTTTTTTTCCCTTGTTTTTTAAAAAGTTGAATTTAATTTTTAGAAAAATTTCTGGTATACTAGTTTCTTTGGTTATCTTTTTTGTTTGGTTTGGTTTTTTAAAGATTTTATTGGGGAATTGGGCACGTAGGTTGCTTCCATATCTTGGCTATTATAAATAACACTACAATGAACATATGGGTATATGTTCATTGTCTTTTCGTATGTCTTTTCAAATTACTGTTTTGAATTTCTTCAGATAAATATCCAGAAGTGGAATTGCTGGGTCATATGGTATTTCTGTTTTTAATTTTATGAGGAACCTCCATACTGATTTCCATAGTGGCTGAACCAATTTACAGCTTCCATCAACAGTGCACGAGGGTTCCCTTTTCTCCACAGCCTCATTAGCACTTGTTGTTTGTTGATTTATTGATGAAGGCCATTCTGACTGGTGTGAGGTTACATCTTATTGTGGTTTTAATTTGCATTTCTCTGATGATCAGTAACATTGAGCATCTTTTCATGTACCTGTTGGCCATGTATGTCCTCTTTGGAAAAATGTGTACTCAGTTCCTTTGCCCATTTTTCAACTGGGTTAATTGGATTGTTGTTTTTTTTTGTTTTGCTATTGAGTTGTAAGATTTCCTTCTGTAGTTTGCACAGTAACCTTTTATCAAATATGTGGTTTGCAGATATTTTTCCCCATTCTGTAGGCTGCCTTTTCATTTTGTTCATTGACTGTGCAGAAGCTTTTTAGTTTGATGTAGCCCCACTTATTTATTTTTGCTTTTGTTGCCTGTGATTTTGGTGTCACATCCAAAAAAAAAAGAAAAAAAAAAAAGAAAAGCCAAGACCAATGTCAAAGAGCTTACGGCCTACATTTTCTTGAGTTTTATATTTTTAGGTCTTATTTTTAAGTCTTTAGTCCATTTTGAGTTGATTTTTGTGTGTGGTGTAAGATAAGGGTCCAATTTCATTCTTTTGCATGTGGATATCCATTGCTCCCTGCACCATTTATTCAAGAGACTGTCCTTTCCCCATTGTGTATTCCTGGAGCCCTTGTCAAAGACTAGTTGACCATATAAATGTGGGTTTATTTCTGGGCTCTCTCTCCTGTTCTACTTATCTATGAGTTTGTTTTTATGCCAGTGCCATGTTATTTTTATAACTTTAGCTTTGTAATATAGTTTGAAATCAGGAAAGGTGATGCTTTCAGCTTTGTTCTTCTTTCTCAAGGTTCCCATGGGGATTTGGGATTATTTAGTGATTCCATACAAATTTTAGAATTTATTTGTTGTATTTCTGTGAAAAAATGTATTTCTGTGAAAAAATGATAGGGGTTGCACTGAATCCAAACATAGGTTTGGGTAGTATGGACATTTCAACAATTTTAATTCTTCCAACCATGAACATGAGCTATTCTTTCCATTTATTCGAGTCTTCCTCAAATTCTTTCATCAGTGTTTTATAGTTTTCACCTCCTTGGTTACATTTACTTCTAAGTATTTTATTCTTTTTGATGCTATCGTAGATAGTAAATGGGTTTTCTTAATTTCTTTTTTAGATAGTCTGTGTTGGTGTATAGAAATGCAACTGATAATTGTACGTTGATTTTATGTCCTGCAACTTTACTGAATTTGTTTATTAGTTCTAACAATTTTTGTGGCATCTTTAGGATTTTCTATATATGAGATCATGTCATCTGCAAACAGAGATAGTTTTACTTTGTCTTTTCCAATTTGGATGCCTTTTCTTTCTTTTTATTACCTAATTGCTCTGGCTACAATTTCTAGTACTATGTTGAATAGAACTGGTGAAAGTGGGCACCCTTGTCTTGTACTTGATCTTAGAGGAAAAGCTTTGAACCATTATGTATGATGTTAGCTGTGGGCTTCACATACATGGCCTTTATTATGTTAATGGTACATTCCTTCTATACCTGACTTGGTGAGAGTTTTTATCATAAAAGGATGTTAAATTTTGTAAGTATATAAAGAAAATATTAACATAACTGAATAGAGAAATAGACAACAATATTATAATAGTAAGGGATCAATACCCCACTTTCAATAATGGGCAGGTTCATCCAGGCAGCGTTCCAATAAACACTGGACTTGAATACGCTTTTTAGATCACATGGACCTCACAGATAATACACAGGACGTGCCATCCAACAGCAGCAGAAAGTACATTCTTTTCAAGCGTACACGGAACAGTCTCTGGAACAGACCATATAATAGGCCACAAAACAAGTTTTAAAAATTTAAGAAGACTGAAATTATATCAAACACATTTTCCAATCACAGTGGAATGAAACTACAGGAGGAAAACTGGATAATTCACAAACCTGTGGAAATTAAACAACACACTCCTGAACAAACAATGGGTCAAGGAAGGAATCAAAAAGTAAATAAAAAAGTATATTTAGACAAACAAAAATGGAAATACAATATACAAAATCTTATGGGATACAACAAAAGCAGTTCTAAGAGGAAAATTTATAGCAATAAATGCCTACATTCAGAAAAAAGAATGGTCTCAAATAAACAACCTAGCTTTATACCCCAAGGAACTAAAAAGGAACACACCAAGTCCAAAGACAGTGGAAGGAAATAGTAAAGATGAGCGCAGAAACAAATGGTACAGAGATGAGAAAGACAATAAAAAACATCACCAAAATTAAGTGCTTTTGAAAAGATAAACTTGACAAACTTTTGGATAAACTAACCAAGAGAAGAGAGATGACTCAAATAAATAAAATTACAAACAAAGAGGAGACATTACAACCAACGCCACAAAAAACAAAGGATCATATGTGATTACTATGAACAATTACACACAACAACTGGATAAACTAAGAGACATGAAAAAATTCCAAGAAACACAACCTTCCAAAACTGAATCACAAAGAAATAGAAAATCTGAACAAACCAATCAATGAGAAAGGAGATTGAATCAGAAATCAAAAACGTCCCAAAAACAAAATTCCAGGAACAGATGGTTTCACTGGTGAAGTCTACCAACCATTTAAGAATGAATTAATGCCAAAACTTCCCAAAGTCTCCAAAAAGCTGAAGGGATAGGAACACTTTCAAAATCATTCTAAGAGGCTAAGCCAAAACCAGACAAGGATACTACAAAGAAAATTACAGGCCAATGTGCCTGATAAACATAGATGCAAAAGTCTTCCACAAAACACTGGCAGCCTGATTTCAACAGCACATTAAAAGGACCACACAGCATGATCAGTGAGACGTGTCCCTGGGAAGCAGGGCGGTTCAGCATCTGCAGGTCACTCGACGTGACTCATCACGGCAAGGACGTGAAGAAGAAAAACCATGGTCGGTGCAGGGCCGAACGGTCACCTCAGTAAACGAAAAAAAGGTGTGACAAAATTCAACATCCTTCTTCTTCACAAAGATTAAATACATTGGATGGTGAAATGTCTTCTAAATGATCACAGAAATGTAAAATTATATTTAACTTTGGGTAATAAGTATTTTATTTTCATTTTAAAATTGATATATGGAAATTTCATCAGGACACTTGAATGCAGAGATAACTTATAAAACATCAAGATTACAAAAGTCCACTACAATTTTTTTTCAAACATAAAAAACATTCCTACCTACTCAGTGGCATAGTTAAGCTTGTCACGAAGAACACACGGGCCTTAATGACAAGCCAGAACTTCGGTATTCTGAAGCAAAATGGTTTCCATGGAGGCCGACTTATAATCTAAAGGATGAGGAATTAATTCAAGTTGTACAAATAAGGAGCAAGGAAGCAAACTTTTAGAAGGAGCAGTGGTCTCAAATTAGCAGAAACTAAAGGAACAGAATGGTATTATTATTTAGACAGGAAACTCTCCTAAGAGGAATGAAGAAAACCTATGTCAAAGCTGGGAAATAAGGTTGTAGGTCCCACGAGACCCGCATGGGAAGTAAGGAGACCTGCCAGTAAGGAGGAAGTGCAGGACGCGTGGGAATTTATACAAATGGCTCCAACTATCTGGAGGCGATCCCTTTTCTGGTAAACACTGGATGGGGTTTTAAGGCAGGATGAAGCCGGAGCTACGCATACCTGAGCTGAGTCAGAGTGATTCAAGTCCAAGTGTACAGTTTGGCCAGGGAATGTTCAGGGCTCATGTTGTTTTAATGGACCCGTCTTCGGGAACGAAAGTGAGCATTTCTGAGAGCTGGGGATCTCGGGTCGGGGAGTGGGGGCGGGAAGGGAGCCTGGCGACCACCCAGCTCACCAGGCTTAAGGGAGCCGGCTGCTATGGAAGGGCCTGACTTGCAACTTCTGATCTAGATGTCTTTCCATAATCAACACCCCAGAGGCTACTGGGCTTAAAATTTCAGTTTTTGGATTATCTGAACATTCTTTCCTGAAAAGATTATTACTCTGAACTTGGATTCATGTAAGTGTTTTTTAAAATAGGGGGTCTTCGGTGCCCCCAGACAAAGAGCCACAAACGTGCCGCTCATTCGTGGCCCCGTAACAGCCTTCCCAACACGCCACACCTGCCTTCTCCCCACCCGTCCCTACGGGTTTCCTGTCTGCCGCCTGGGGTCTGCCTGCCGAGAACCCAGGCCTGTTTGCACACGCGCTGCAGTAAGAACCGCTGAGCTGCAGCCTGGTGAGACTCAAACAAGGGGATGACACGACAGAACCAGACGCCTGAGTCACAAGCTGTGTCACGACCCCCAGGCGGAACCGTCCAGCAGAGCTCCCCCCCCCTCCAGGAAGGGGAGAAGAGAGGCCTCCCTCCCTGTTTCTGTACAAACACTTACGAGGGCTGAGCAAAGGCAGGGCTGGGACGCTCACACTGGTCAGAGGTTGTAAGCAGGAAACAGTTGGGGAACTACAGCTGTCGGGCGTCACGTGGGACTAGCCGCGCAGACTGGCTCTCTTAGGAAGGCCAGGATGTCGGAACACCCCTCCTGTACACAGGTGACGACAATGAGTGTTGGTGGCCACGGAATCAGGCACAGTCTCTCAACAGAAACCACAAAAGCTTTTGACTGCGCCGAGGGAGAAGCAAAGGCTGCCTTCCTTTCTGTGCAGAGCCGCCCAGGCCCCAGGCCCCAGGCCCCAGGCCCCAGGCCCCTCTCGCGGCGGTTCCCGCCTTTTCCCTGTCGCAGGGCTGGGCCTTGGTCTCAGGGCCACACTCCTCAGCTTTTCCTACCTCGCTTTTCTGGAGGGAGCAAGTGAACCTGCCCTGTCAGCAGATTCAATGTCTAATTCTTTTAAAGTCTCGCACGTCATGTCAAGGTCTATGCGTAACCGCGGCCTCTGGACACGGACTCACTCTGGACACCGACGTGGACTCACCTGGCCGACGGTGAGTGTCTTGTCCACCGCTCCGGCTCATGCTGCCTGCTTCCTGCAGCAAACAGACAGGGGAACGAACACGTCACATCTCTGTCGGACGGACCCACAGAAGAGCACGCGGAGGTGCCTGCAGGACAGGACCCGCTTTGTTTCCCCTCAGCTGGGGCCCCGGCTGGATGTGTCCCACAGCTGCGCCATTCAAGTGGGAGCAGCCAGCGCAGGGGTAGCACGGTGAGGGCCGAACGGGAACCGCTGCCATCACCCGCAGCCTCGCCATCTGCACACCTACATGGTCACTGCTGCCAACGCACCTACAAATGGAGCTTCCTTGTCCATGGCTCAGCTCAGGGGGACACTGTGCCAAATTCGAACAAAGCCATGGGGCTCTTTCTCCAGTTGAGGCCAAGTGCCCTTCCCTGGGGCAGACGGGGCACGCTGGGAAGTCACGAGAGAACCACACACACAAAAAAAACTGCAAGCACAAATGGCGCTCTGCCCACAAACCTGGCCCCTGCTGCTCACACCCGTCCCAGAGCGAGGCTCCTGGGGCTGTGGCAGTGTGGGTGACGTGACCAGGTCACAGCAATGGCCGGGACCAAGTTTCCAGGCCCACCCTTGTTATCACAGGTGACCCCTGCACTTTCACAGCAGCCCGGCCTCCTGGGGCATCACCACGGGATGTGACAAGCTGCAGAAATCTCAGGCAAGTTTGTAGCTACTTACTGTGGAATGTGACACATCACTTCTCACCCCCAGAAGGAGAAGGTGCCGCTTTCGCACCTTGGGGAGGCTTTGATGCTCAGCACCTCGGGAAGCGAGGCTCACACTGCTCCCAGCCCAGGGCCCCTGGGGAAGTCCCCATTTGGGGCAGTAACTGAACTCTGAGGCCTTTTCAGTTTTTCACTAACACAAACAATTTTGCCTGTTAACTCTGTCCTGAAAATAGGGACAACTTCCTATTAGGCTACTTTAGTATCTCCAAAAATATTAAAACAGCAGTTCAAAGGCAGACAAAACCCACCGAAATATGTGCTGGCCGAGTACAGATGACATAACCCACTCATGGTGATTCAAACTGAGACGGTGGATTCCCTGACACAGAAAGTGTTCCAGCCCTAACAGAAGGGGTGTGCGTGTGTGTATGTGTGCAAAACTTATTTTATACAGCAACACCTGAAACTAGCAAACAGCTTGCACAGCCAACAGCACTTTTGTGGGTGCTTCTCCACGACAGCCAAAGTGCAAATGAACGCACTATCCTTGCGTGTGGGTCACCCTGGAGGGGCCTTGGATTTCTCCCGCCCGCCTCCCCATGTTCATAAGTCAGACCCTGACTCAGCCTTACCCTGAGGTCTCCTGGAGGCCAGTGGCTCAGCCCTAACACTCACGCGCCACCATCCTGACCTGTGTGTGACCCGTGTGCGAGGATGTGGGCCTGCCCCGCTACAGCACGGGTGTCCTTCAAAGTCCTACATTTCCAAGGGCAGAGCGGTGCGAGCTCTAGCTGCCCAGGAGTCACTCGTTTTTTTGCCTCTAAGTGATCAGAACAGAAGAGGAAACAGTGCTTGTCCAGCCTGGCTCCCAGTCTGCAAAAGCCCTTAGGAGCCCCAAGTTTTTCCCGGAATCAATGGCAGGAGGGAGAAACGGTTTCTGTGTGGACATCACAACAGCCGACTGTGCGGGTCTGGAGCCAGCAGGCCCTCTGCACTCCATCACTACCCGGCAACAAGGTAACACAGTTAGAAACGGGTGTCTAATGCTCTGTGCCATTCGGTCACTTCCAGCACAGGATCACCCTGGACTGCTGGTCAGCGCTGCTGGAGGCGGACGCACAGGCCCAGAGCGCCTGTCCACTGTTTCTGCAGTGGCCACAGCCGTCATGGCCCGCTCTGCGCGAACGACTGCAGGCTGCTCACAGGGCGCTCTGCTCACATGTATGAACGGAGTCGGAAAGCAGGTGTGCTGGCCGCGAGTTACACCTGCATGCACCGAATCTACAAGCAAAACGCTGGGCACGTCACAGGCTTGGCAGGAGCCCCGGTGCCCCCACAGATGGTGTGTCTGCCCCGCCTGCACCGCGATCCCTGCCTGCCTGGTTCCTGGGACGTGCTCGGTGCTTGCCTGGGGGTATGGCACTGAACATAACAGGGCCGTGCGGGGCCCGGAGCTCAAGGAGGACACGTCACCGGGAGTGGCGGGAGGCGCGCAGGCCGCACGGGGAGGCCCCTGGTCTGTGTGCTGCTGTGCCCGAGAGCCAGCTGGTCACCAAAACACACGCGCAGCTCGCTGGTGCTGCAGACGCTCCAGCTTCTTCACGATTCGGTCCTGGCTCTTTCCAGGACTGGCACAGGCTATTGTTTGAAGCTAAAAGGAGTCAGGATGTGGCCCAGCTGGAGAGAGCTTCCTGTCTCGTTGGCAGCTCGGACCCAGCTCCTCACTCCACGCCCGTGGCAAGGCCTGGTCTGGGCTCCTGAGGGTGACAGCCTCCACCCCCCCACCCCACACATGTCCCCCAGGCCCAGTCACTTCCGGAAACCACCCCTCTTGGAAACTTGAAGCCCGGCCCCTCCAGCCCCATAGTCAGAGCCCCACTCCGCCCCTTAGCGCCGGCGTCCTCCTCCTGGTCCAGCCTGCTCACCTCCAAACGTGTGTCCACCCACTGCTTTCTTTTCACCTTCAGATCGTCGAGAGCACAGCCCTGCAGGGCTCTCAGCCTGACCCCACCTGCCCTGAGGACCCGTCACACGTAGGACGTGAGAAACCAGGGGGCATCTGGGCCTCTGCCAGGCCAGCAGACACTCGGCTGCGACAGCCAAGTTTGTCATGTGAGGGGCCTGCGGGGTGCCACCGGGGATGAGAGTGGGCTTCTGCGCTCCGGCAAGGAGAGTCACTATTTTTAAAATTTGCACAAAAAGGAGAAATTTCCAGACACAAATCTCTGCCAACAGATTTTTCATTTACTATATAGATCCAAGGAAAACAGGTTCCCTTCTCCAATTTCAACACATCCCCATGACCTCTGCCATCACCCAGGTGAAGGCTCAGCCAACATTGATGACACCGTCCCCTGGGCTGGGCTTGGTGGCCCTGCCCTGGGGACACTGGGAGTCCGAGCACACGGCTTCTGCTGGGCTGATCAGCCAGTGGCCGGAATGACAACAGCCAGCCCACACAGTCAGACTTTGGCTTGCGTGCTTTTTAAATTGTATTTTTAAAAACAGCTTTACTGAGGTACAATTGACATTGTTTGGTTTTTAATAGAAAGAAACTTCAATTAAAACAGTCCACTTAGGGCCGGCTGAGTGGCGCGATGGTTAAGAACTGGCTTGGGACGCCAGAGGGCCCCGGTTCGGATCCCACATATGAGGGCCAGTGACACTG